ACCATTTGAGGCTCATATGCTTCAAGTGAAGTGTTCCTGAGAGCTAAGCAGTTCTAAGTAGTTCTGTCCCATGTTTCAGACAAGGTTCTGAGCAGTTGTTTTCTCCTGTACTGTCTTCCAGAGGATGCCTTAAGGGGTTCTATATTTTCTGTGTTTCAGAGGATATTCTAAGCAGTTCTGTTTCTGCTGTTCTGTGTTTCAGTTCTTAGCAGTTCAGTTCTGTTCTGGATTTCAGAAAATGTTCTAACCAGTTCTATTTCTCCTGTTGTGTGTTTCAGAGGAGGTTGACTACAGCAGCTATGGGACCCACTCTCTGACCCGAAAGAAGAAGGCTGTGGTGGCGCTGCGGAACGACGTCAACAGGAAGCGACCTCACATCCGCATCGGCATGCCGCAGGACTTCCGGCCAGTCTCCTCCATCATCGATGTGGACATCTTGCCAGAGTCCCACCGCCGTGTTCGTCTCTACCGCCACGGCTCTGACAAACCCCTGGGGTTCTACATCCGGGATGGGACAAGCGTACGGGTGACGCCCCATGGCCTGGAGAAGGTGCCTGGGATCTTCATCTCCCGCATGGTGCCTGGGGGCCTGGCTGAGAGCACGGGCCTGCTGGCCGTCAATGACGAGGTCCTGGAGGTCAACGGCATTGAGGTGACTGGGAAGACGCTAGACCAGGTGACGGACATGATGATCGCCAACAGTCACAACCTGATTGTCACAGTGAAGCCGGTGAACCAGCGGAACAATGTGGTGCGAGCCAGCCGGATTTCCGGCAGCTCCGGTCAGTCGTCAGACAGCAGCGGTTCTACCGGCTATCCCAGCCTGTCCACCGCAGCAATGGCGACCGGCGCCCACGGCTACCCCGACGAGCTGGAGAGCGATGAGGAGTCAGACATCGTCATCGAGAGCAGCCTCAAGCGGCCGTCGCGGCGCTCCAGCGCTTCAATGGTGTCCGTGGCTTCAACAACGTCACGCTCCCACACCCAAGCCCCTCCTCCAGCCCCCGTGGAACCCACCAACACCCCGACCCGACCCCTCTCTGTGGTTTCCACCTCCTCCTTCCACTCCCAGCCCTCCTTCCACTCCCAGCCCAGCCTCAACGGCCTCTCTCACCACGGCAGCCTCAGCTACATGCTGCACAGGGACCTGAACCTCCAGCACCCCCAGTTCCAGACCCCCCAGCATCACCAAACCCAGCACCACAGCAGCAACCCGGCCCTCCGGGAGAGCAACGGCAGTCTGCACAAAATCCTCAGCACCATGAGGACGGACCCTCGACACAGCCTGGCCCTGCCCCGCGGAGGGGTGGAAGAGGACGGCACCGTCATCACCCTATAATACACACAAACACACACACATTGGACGTGAGCTGGAGCATCCCCTGCCCGGTATACCCACCATGAGAATGAACGTTGTTCCTCAAACCTACTAATTTAGTTTCATTTTTTATAAAACAAATAATCCATGGAACAAGGACAGTTTATTCTGTATTGTTTGAGTTTTAAGGTTTTCTATGTCTTGTAAATGAGCATTTTAGGCGAGTCCACTGTATTGTATAGTCCTGATGTGATTCACCTGCTATCCTTTAGTGACCACTTTTAATCTGAACCTCTATCTCCTTTTTGGGACCAACACTGAGCTTTTGTTTTTAAGAACAATTCTATGTTTTTGTACAATGCTGCCTGTCTGTACTGATTCTCTATCTCTGTATTTTAACTGTGGATTCACATCAATCATCTATATCTGCTCTAATAAATTATTCAACGCTTTAATAAGGAGAAGTGTTGGATCATCACATGTACTAAAACTCTTACTTCCCTTACTAGCAGTCATTTATACCTAGTACATTTTGAACTGCTATTAAGCAATACTTCCTACACTGAACATGGGCCTAGTCTATATCCTAATTTCATCTTGTCCACTGGTTGTCTGTTTTTGGAGCTTCTAAAATGGACTCCAGGAATGCAACATGCTCTCTGGAAAAAAGCCACTAGCTGACTAGCACCCCTCTCACCTCACCGCTAATCAACTCTTATCTTCACTGTTTACTCGACTTATCTGCTCGGCTGTGAACCCTGTTAGTTACAGCAGGCAGGGGGATGTGAACCCTGTTAGTTACAGCAGGCAGGGGGATGTGAACCCTGTTAGTTACAGCAGGCAGGGGGATGTGAACCCTGTTAGTTACAGCAGGCAGGGGGATGTGAACCCTGTTAGTTACAGCAGGCAGGGGGATGTGAACCCTGTTAGTTACAGCAGGCAGGGGGATGTGAACCCTGTTAGTTACAGCAGGCAGGGGGATGTGAACCCTGTTAGTTACAGCAGGCAGGGGGATGTGAACCCTGTTTACAGCAGGCAGGGGGATGTGAACCCTGTTAGTTACAGCAGGCAGGGGGATGTGAACCCTGTTAGTTACAGCAGGCAGGGGGATGTGAACCCTGTTAGTTACAGCAGGCAGGGGGATGTGAACCCTGTTAGTTACAGCAGGCAGGGGGATGTGAACCCTGTTAGTTACAGCAGGCAGGGGGATGTGAACCCTGTTAGTTACAGCAGGCAGGGGGATGTGAACCCTGTTAGTTACAGCAGGCAGGGGGATGTGAACCCTGTTAGTTACAGCAGGCAGGGGGATGTGAACCCTGTTAGTTACAGCAGGCAGGACTGCTAGGAGGTGAAGGTGATAACACCTGAATCTGCATCTGCTTAACCTCACTTATTCACTTTCCTACACTGTATTGGGCACACACATTGAGATCTATGTATGGATCCAGTGGTACTTTGGTTTACAAGCACAATCTATCCATCCATGGTATGGTTAACTTTCATAGAGTATATGGATTATGTGGGACACTAAGCCATCCATCTGTGGTTTGTATGGGATTCTTCTCACAATTATTCACATTGTAGTTCAATGTTTTTAAGCTGTCATGGTTTGCAAAGTAGTTTTGTTGAACAGTCTTATTGTTGTCTCAACTCTTTAAACCTCCATGTTAGTACTCCCAGGATTAACATAGGATTATCACCCTCTTTTGGTTCACAAATATGTCATTTTGTTGCTCTTTCCTTTTCCTCTCCCCATAGGCTGCTTCGGTTATCGTGACACTGTTCTTCTGACCATAGTGACGTTATTCCCCGCATATCTTCACCATGGACAGTCAGTTCAACCCTGTTGAGTAGTGCTATAATGTGTTGGTCACTGCCCCCTCCTGGTAGTACCTTGTACCATCGACTCAGTGTGGGCCGACATATTCACACCTAAGAAATATTACAGGTTTTATATTTATTACCGCAACGTCTAGATTTTTCTGGAATAATGTCTATTGTTTTACTGTCTCTTTTCTTTTTAATGTACATACAGACTTTATAATAGATTTTTACAAGGGAAAAACAATGACACATGAACAAACAATTCCACGAGGTATTATGGTACGAGGATGATTATGATGGGGAATATTTCTGCATACCATGTAAACTGGACTGTTTTTATTCTAATGAGATGATGATGTACAGACGTTGCTATACATTCTCCACACATATTGGAGAAAAGGTTTGTAAAACACTTTGTGCCTTTTTTAATTCATTTTAGTCCAGATATGTACTGAGCACTCAAATGTAAACAATAATTGAATGTATATTAGGGCTTGATCTGTAATTGCTCAATTAATATTTAGTAGGCCTAGTTGCTCTTTCAACATAGTAAACCGTAAGTATCACTTCAACTAATTTCCACAGTTGAAATTCAAACCCTTAATGCAATTAATTTGAATTGTGAATATTATGTTTATATTATTTTCTTACAGTTTTGTAATTTTTGGGAGATACATTTTGAAATAAAGGTTTTAAATGCACTTGCTGTTCTGTTTTTCATTCATTACATTTTAGTCATTTAGCAGACGCTCTTATCCAGAGCAACTTACAGTTAGTGAGTGCATACATTATTATTATTGTATTTTTTTCATACTGCCCCCCGTGGGAAACGAACCCACAACCCTGGCGTTGCAAACGCCATGCTCTACCAACTGAGCTACATCCCTGCCGGCCATTCCCTCCCCTACCATGGATGACGCTGGGCCAATTGGTCATCCCCAAAGCCAACACCTCCTTTGGCCGCAATTCCTTCCAGTTCTCTGCTGCCAATGACTGGAACAAATTGCAAAAATCTCTGAAGCTGGAGACTCTTATCTCCCTCACTAACTTTAAGCATCAGTTGTCAGAGCACCTTACCGATCACTGCACCTGTACACAGCCCATCTGAAATTAGCCCGCCCAACTACCTCATCCCTATATTGTTATTTATTTTGCTCATTTGTACCCCAGTATCTCTATTTGCACATAATCTCTTGCACATCTATCATTCCAGTGTTAATACTAATTGTAATTATTTTGCACTATAGCCTATTTTATTGCCTTACCTCCATAACTTGCTACATTTGCACACACTGTATATATATGTATTTCTGTTGTATTTTTGACTTTGTTTTGTTTTACCCCATATGTAACTCTGTGTTGTTGTTTTTATCGCACTGCTTTGCTTTATCTTGGCCAGGTCGCAGTTGTAAATGAGAACTTGTTCTCAACTGGTTTACCTGGTTAAATAAAGGTGAAATAAATAAAAATAAAAATAAAATTGTGCACCGCCCCATGGGTCTACCGGTCGCGGCCGGCTACGACAGAGCCTGTATTCGAACCAGGATCTCTAGTGGCACAGCTAGCACTGCGATGCAGTGCCTTAGACCACTGCGCTACTCATTCCATTTTCTATTGTAGAAAGATGACTCGTAAAGAAAAGGTTTGCTGTGTGTTTATATGTTTCTAATGGCGATTGAGTCATCAGTGTTCAACTTGAGAGGACATTAGTGAGAAAGAGCCCTGATTTAAAATTGCGCCTTTTCGCTTTGTTCTACTTGATCCTTGTAAGCCACCATCCACAGTTTCAACCACTTGATTGAATCATTTGACTATCATAACACCGTAGCTGAAAACAAAATAAATTAAAGGGGCAAAGATGGAGCCTAGGATGGAAAATAGGGTAGGTGTTCTCTCCCCGCTGGAGGAGTCAAGTGCGGAGGTGAGTCGGGACAGTGGCATCGTGTCGCAGAGTGCGAGCAGTTTATCCATGTTGAGCGAGGCCCTAAGCAGTGGCACCGTGTCGCAAAGCCCCAGCTTCGGCGCAGCAGTCTCGCAGAGTCCGAGCTTCAACTCCGAGGAACCCGACACGGACCCAGACCACAACCAGGAGGATGAGATCCTGAGACACACTGCCCTCAGTTACTCCTCCTACATCAGAGATACTGCTGGAGACGAGGTTAGAATTAATCAACCTTTCCGATGGAGGTCAAATATATCCTCCTGTCTATGCTGGGAGGTGCAATATAGCGCTAGCTATAACTGGATACGCGTGACGAGTTAAATGTCACTTGACTGTGGTTATAACCAAATCCTTTACATACCCCACAGATCCTGTGTTTGGAGAAAAGTCTGGAGGAAATGCTGACCAGGGTGGATGAATTTGTTGGAATGCTTGACATGGTACGTGCTCAAGAGTTGGGCAGTGTTTGAAATATGCATTTCATTTACTTGAGTATTTTGTCATTTGTATTACACAGGGCTGAACTACACTCCATTGTATTTTATAACGAGATACTTTCGAGAGCTGTAATTTGTATTTTCGAAATGCTAAAATACTTTTCTATACCATTTATTTATATTTATAGCGGTTAACAGTTTTGTGGCCCCCTCTAACCCTGCATTGGTATCAGAAGTCTGATGGCACTATGGTTTGATAAGTGCATTCTCTAAATAAACTAAACATAATTGTATATGTAAAAATGGACAATTGCAAAGCATGCTGAGTATTATTCTAACGAGTTCCTGACACCAGCCAATAAAAATACCCAGTGTGCTTTGCAGTTCATTTTGGTATGTTCATTTTCATATTTACATTTTGGTCATTTAGTAGACACTCTTATCCAGAGTGACTTACAATCAGTGCATTCAACTAAAGTAGATAAACAATAACATATCACAGTTAGAGCAAGTCAAATGTTTCTGTAACCGTTACTGAGAATGTTGTTGCTGTTCGGGACGGCTATTTGGAAATGTATTTCTGTATTTTAAAATGTATTTCAAATTACAAGTATTTTGCAGTTTATTTTGATGCATAGATTTTTCTGGTATTTTGTTATTGTATTTAGCAATTTTTGCGCATCCCTGTATGTGTTCATGTCCTTGTCTGTGAAAGTGGGTGAGAAATTAATAACTTTTCTTCCTCTGGTAATAGATCCGCAACGACACATCACAGATTGTCAACGAGAATCTACCTCAAATACATAGAAAATCAGAAGAGATGAGGCAATTATACAGAAAGATTGACAAGTTGAATGTAAGTGTGATTACTTAAAGTAATTGTTAATGACCAGGATGTTGTCATTGAAATCATGACATGATCTGTGTAACAAATGGCACCCTATTCTCTATACTTGGGGCACAGATATGGTAGTTCTGTATCTGACCCTGTTCCCTGGTGTTTTGTCCAGGCGTTTGTGAAGATGGTGGGTGCCAATGTGAATGTCATGGAGGAGCAGGTCACTCAGGCAGAAAGGGAAGAAGGAACCCTGCCGGGTGCCTTCAGAAAGATCTTCCATACCATTAGTGTCCCGGGATTTCTAAATGTGAGGATTCAATCAATGTACATCTCAGTCAACCATTAAGGCATTTTACATTTGAAGTGTAAATGTTGTATTCCTATACTTAATCACTATCTCCCCTGAACCAGTATCTGTGCGTTAGTCCTCTCTAACACATTTACATTTACGTCATTTAGCAGACGCTCTTATCCAGAGCGACTTACAGTTATTTATTAATTTTTTTATACTGGCCCCCCGTGGGAATCGAACCCACAACCCTGGCGTTGCAAACGCCATGCTCTATCAACTGAGCTACATCCCTGCCAGCCATTCCCTCCCCTACCCTGGACAACGCTGGGCCAATTGTGCGCCGCCCATGAGTCTCCCGGTCGCGGCCGGCTGCGACAGAGCCTGGATTCGAACCAGGATCTCTAGTGGCACAGTTAGCACTGTGATGCAGTGCCATAGACCACTGCGCCACTCAGGAAACACCCAGGAAGCTCCGACTCAAACTCTCATTCACCAGCTCTGCAAACGTTATGTCAAAATACGTTTGTTGATCACCAAATATGGAGTTTCGCTGAGCAACTATCTTAATTTGCTCCCGTTACGGCCGGTATATACTTCCAAAAAATGTATAAATAAAAATTTACAAGCAACCGAAAAAATGCCTATTTGGCACCTCCAATGTCTCAATCACTCATTACTGCCACGCACAGGTCGGAAGTCTACAACAGCTCAACATATTAGAGGTGCGGAAGAGGCATTTTTTTCAGTTGCTTATAAAAAATAAAAAAATAAAAACGTTTTTAGAAGTACATTCCCGCCATAACGGGAGTACATGAAGACAGTTGCTCAGCAAAACTCCATATTTGGTGATCAACAAACGTATTTTGACATAACGCTTGCAGAGCTGGTGAATCTGAGTTTGAATCAAAGCTTTCTGGGCCTTAGAGAGGTCTCTAACGCACAGATACTGGTTCATATCTCCCCATAATTGCTTTTGTAATGTTTTTATTATTTATTGAATGGTAGGTGTCCTTCCTATATATTGCTCTCAGTGGATTTAAATTATGAACAATAACTTTTGTCTCTGCAGAAACCAGCCAGCCCCAGAAGGCAGCAGCATCAGGAGCTTCCCCCAGTGTTCAGAACAGATGATTATTTCATCCCACACCCAGGACACTGAAAGTTTATCTCAACTGGCACCCTATTCCTTACATATTGTACAACTATTAACCAGGGCCCATAGGCTCTGGTCAACAATAGTGCACTATATAGGGAATAGGGTGCCATTTAGGAGGCAACTTGAAACCGATGCCTGCAGCTTCCACACATCACACATGCAATGACCAGCCTAACTCCTCTAGGCCAGGCGACCTCAGTCTGCATGGCTGTCTTGACTGGACCAGAGCCATAGATGGAAATGGTTCTGGACCTGACTATAGACAATAATACTAGTTTCCTCTGGACTGGAGGATCTGACGGTACAACAATTTCAACAAGCAATATAGTGTTGGCTCTCTCTCGCTAACAAGTGGCTGTGAAGACACTGAAGAAATCAGACTGAATGCGGACACCTGAAAAAGGAAAATGGTGTTATTGATCAAGACTCTGTTTTTCAAGTGCCTCTGAGTGTTTCCCTTTATTTTATTGCGTGGTCACCTGTTGAATGAAATTGCTGTAAGTAAAATGTTATTAATCATCACACTCACCCTGTTAAATAAAATAAGTAAATAAAAAATAAAATCACCAACAGTATGATTTGAAGTATATGATGTTCAAGCTTGAGTAAACCTTAACATGACATGGTATTTTAGTTTTAGTGACATTCTGTCTGTAGACACATCTGTTTTTATAAGGCTATTGTTTCCTGTTTGTATGGGCTAATGCTGGAGTGGAATTGGCACTTTGTAATTCTCCACACACTGCACCAAGCAACATGTATTTGTTTAATATAATATTATGTCATAGTTGTATATTATTTGAAAGTTTTGTCACTAATAATTATCAATAAAGTGGTTTCTTATTGACTTTATCAGTAAACCCTCATCTGGAAAGATGTTAGTGTGTCACACAACCACAGATATCAAAATATATCAGAGGGATACACAGCTAGCTGCTACATAAAGCACTTGTTGAAAACCAAACTATTTTATGTCACTTTCTCTTGGCTCCAAAGTCCTCATGTGTAAAATAACTTCTCAGATTCTCAATGGTATACAAAAGTATACATTGTCATATTCATTAACTCACAATTGTCCACATGTACTGATAATATTAAACATAACTCATGTAATATTTAATATCCATTTCATTATCAATGGGCTGAAAATAATTGAGCTACTAAGGTTGGTTGCACTGAAGGAAAGCATTTTCTGTTAGACCATTTTGATGGAAACGCCCATTTGGGTGCCATTTACACTCTTGGGTACCCGTCAATCAAACCGAAGCACGCGTCTATTGGTCGTTTAGCCCCAGTAGAAGACAACTCACTTTTTTTTCCGGATGAAGCGGGAAAGACCTGCTGTGCATCCACATTGGATTGCTAGCTACTTGCATATTAAGGTAGGTTTCAAACAACCATTAAACAATAAAAACATGTCGTTTGTAGGGGAAATTATTCATTGCAACACAAAGTAAAAGTTTAGCTGTCTTTTTCTGAGTGGAATGATGTACTGACTTTAAACTAGTTAGTTAGCTTGCTACTGTATATAACTAGCTAGTTAGGTAACGCAGTATTCATTCCGTTAACTGACGTTAGCTAGTGTTTCCAGTTTTGAGATCTAGTTAGCCATTCTCTTGCTCAAGTTCTCTTGATAAGTGCATAACTACATGATGCCAAACTGTTAAGTTTTATCTTTTCCATTCATTGTAATTCCAATAATTCAGAGTGATTCTGCAACACGTGGGATGTGCTCATCAGGGATGTGCTGTTGGCTACGTCATATTCAAGGCGCTCTTTCCTCTCCAGATTCCAACCTGCAATTTGAACCATGGCAAGCAAACCGGTGTGGGAGCAGATAGGTGCAGGATTTGTGCAACATTATTACCAACAGTTTGATTCTGATAGAACCAAACTCGCTGACCTCTATGTGAGTATGTTTTTCATTTCAACACATTTAGAGATGTTTCATGGACCAACCTTGTCATCTGGAAACCTGGGGTGACTCTCAAAAGTATCTTAATTCCTTGCCTCCTCCACTTGGACTCTCGCCTTCAAATAACTTTCGAAAACCCTACAGTTTTCAGCCATTAGCTTCGCTCATTTGAACTACAATCCTGACGTTGTGTTAACATTTAGAAACGGCAATCATCGCTTGCAATACGGCTTTCGAAACATATGGCCCTTATCTTTCATCATCGAGAAATAATCCTTCAAATAAAAAAGATACACTTACTGTTGCAGTTTTGCCAGATCCATACAGCTATGGGCCCTCCATCCGACAAAAGTACAGTTCCACTACACTTCCCGAGTTATGCTTACACACAGGTTTTCGGAGCATGCTAGATAGCACAGGTAGTCTCGTCTTCTCTGTTTTCTCTAAATACGTGCCGTAACATGGAGATAACCCTATCAATTGAACTTTATTTTATTTTATTATTTCTCGCTGATATGAAGGTTAAGGTCATTATGCTTCCAAAACCATACCGCAAGCGACGTGCGTTAAGATTGAGTGTACAGAAGACGCCTTCATCATGATCAAGGGCTATCCTCCAAAGTGCTTTGAGAAAGTGGCATGGATGGAGAGGACACAAGGAATCGAGGAAATACTTTTCAGATGGACCCCTGGGGTGTATTCATTGGTCAGATTCTAAAAACAAGAGTTTCTATTGGATAAATTCAGGTAGGTCCCTCCCATTCCGTTTGGTTCCTAAAGTAACGTTTTGCAACGGAATCAGACTAATGAATACACTCCTGCTCATGTTGTTCAGTGTGTAACTGATGTGAGTTCAGTGAGAGTTCACTGTCCTAATAAATGACTGATATGTGTGTCCAGACTGATGCGTCATGTTTAACATGGGAAGGAGTTGGTTTCCAGGGTCACAAAGCCATTATGGAGAAGATCACTGTAAGTGACATCTTCATTTAAGTTTCACTTCATCAAAGTAATTATAATGCATAGCCTAATTATTTTCACATGGTACAGACATAATAGACCCCTTATTTGCTCCCTTACTGCAGAGCTTACCGTTCCAGTCAATTCAGCACAGCATCACCGCACAGGACCACCAGCCCACGCCAGACAGCTGTGTAATGAGCATGGTGATGGGACAGCTCAAGGTAGGTCATTTCAAAAGTAGTGGATGCATGTCGAGAGACTTGCTGGTGTAACAGAGAGATCATACGAGAAACTCACCCATAGCTTGAGATGGCGCCAGTGATTTGTATCCTTTTCAGTGGCATAACTGGTGTATATGTTGTCAAGTTGGCAGTCACGTGTGTTAACTGTTTGCGAGGCAGAGGATCGTAAGTTCAAGTCAGAGGCAAGTTGAGAGAAAAAGCGAAGCTGCTAAGCTAACACAGTGACGCGGGTTACAGTGGTGCCGTGACCCAGATTCACAGTTGCGTTTAGATCAAAGACCCTACTTTAAGCCCAGTCAGACACAAATTGAGGGAGGAAATGAAGCTGCTAAGCTAGCACAGTGACGCCGGTTACCCTGGGTACAAAAAAAGTCATGAAATAATAAATTGCGGGAGCATTCATCGTCTTTATTTCACCGCTAAACATGGAAGGGGCTGTTCCTGTTTTCATTTTAATACCACCTAAAGACATTTTGTTTCAAATCAAATTGATGGTTCCTATTATGGTTAATTTCTACTGTATGTAATGTTAGATGAGCATCATCCTCTACAAATATAGTTTACTCATATTTTCTTTAACAGGCTGACGCGGACCAGGTGATGGGCTTTCAACAAACGTTCCTGCTGAAGAACGTGGACAACAAATGGATCTGCACAAATGATATGTTCAGATTGGTACTACATAACTTTGGAGCATAGGAGGAAATAGAAGGATCACGTACCTTCCACAGAGTTAGCTTTTTATATTACATTTCGACTTTACATGTATGTGTTAGAATGCTTGTCAGATTCTTTTGTCGTCAACCTGTTCTTCTGTATTTGGAAGAAATTAAGACAGATGTGTTCTGCACAGTTAAAACTGCGTACTGTTGTGACAGTGGTGGTGAATGATGATGTCCAGACATGGTTCACAGGAACACAACATAATAAATTAATTCCCAAATATGTTCCTGGTACGATTTGCCTTATTCTGTTATTATTCAAACTATCCCTATATTCAAACTATCCCTATTAGTTCCCAATATTGGAGAACATTTCATCCATACATGCCTTGTTATTAGGAAATGGCACCCTATAAAATCCTCAAACTCAACTCTGGACCTCGAAGCCAGTTCCACTACATTTTTTCATTGTTCCTTTATAATCAGGGACTGATTTAGACCTGGGACACCAGGTGTGAGTAATTATCAGCTTGAACAGAACCAGCAGGCTCCAGACCTCGTAGGTTAAGAGTCGAGTACCCCTGCTATAAAGTATAGGGTGCCATTTCTGACTCAGTTTAATTAGGGAAGATCTCAATTGCATAATCCTCGTGTCCTCTCCTTCTCAAAACCCATTGGATGAGAAAGCCAGAAGTCCCACCCCTCTGACCTCCAATGGGTTGAGAAGGAGACTAGTAGAGTATGTGAGGATTATGCAATTGAGATCTTCCCATAGTTTCTTGCCAGGTACAAACTGCCTCCTACATGGCTGCTTACTCATAACAGTTTAATGCTGATCATGTGAAGCACATGCTCAAATGAAGGCTAGCCAGCTTCATCCTCACTTTTTTCAGTTTCCTTCCTATGAAGAGCCCTTGACCCACAACCTTATACACTTGTATAGTAATGCATGTCATTCATCATGTAAACTCCTATAAGTTGTTCAGGCTACGCGTATGTTGTCCTGCAACACAAAACAAACGTCTGCTTCTGAAATGGCACCCTATATGCTGCAATACTTTTGAACAGGGCAAGTAGTGCCCTATATAGGGAATAGGGTGCCATTTCAGATGCAGTCAAGCAAATTATGACGGCAGGCTCTCTAGTTTAAAACCAAGACATAGGCCCAGATGACCTATTGACCCTGGTAGTAAATGCAACCCAGACACCAAATCCTCTTACAGGAAGATGAGCAAAACATTATGAACACATTCTGCTACAGTACTTCGTTTGTCACTTCTGAAACAATGTACACCAGGGGTGTCCAACTCATTCCATGGAGGGCCTAGTGTCTGCTGGTTTTTGGTTTTTCCTTTCAATTAAAGACAACCAGGTGAGGGGAGTTCCTTACTAATTACTGACCATAATTCATCAACAAGTACAAGGGAGGAGCAAAAACCCGCAGACACTCGGCCCTCCGTGGAATGAGTTTGACACGATGTACACTGTCATCTCACTACCATGACTGGCCCCTTGTTCACATATGACGCATATCGAATAATTTCACGCTCAAGGCCATTGTGCTGAGTGTTGCTCTTAAATACATTTCCATCATGAGGAATACAATAATGCGTAAAGAATGCTGAGAGTTTTTATTTGAGGAGATAACAGTAGCCTGTAACAGTTTTGGGCTAGGTCAGCAATATTAGTGTTGGCCTCCAGGGGGCGATCACAGTTGGCGACTATTCACCAGAAGTTATTTATTTTCAACTGAAGGTGGCGATTTGAAGAGACACTGTCGCGATGCAACTGTTGACAATGCAACCCTGACTATAGGAGTGAAAGTTGAGGAAAGTTCAACTTTAAGAAATGTATCAGCAACATGTTAACCAATTGGGGTGTATTGTTAAATTGTGTTTGATTTGTGCAAATTAAAGGCCTTTGTGCAAAAATTGTTGATACGGTTGTCGTAAGGGCTTTGAAGAGATAGTCACTCGCCAGCCACTAGTCGACCATGTCGTTAGGGCACCAATCAAGACATTTACAAGCATATATGATGAACCAATTAACAATGTAAATCTGTGTTCATGTCTCGCTCCAGACGATAGTTTTACAGAATGGTGGTGATTGAATAGCTTTAGATGACCTTTGGCCATAATTAGTAGATTTATCCGTTTTTGCGTAACATTCAAAATATAATGATAATAAGAAAAATATTGTTATTCTTGATTTATACCTTTCAAATACTATTGCAATTTTATTTTAGCCATTTCTAACACACATTACTTCATTCTAATAAAGATAGCTACGTACTCACATTCTTATAAAAACATTTTCTTCAAATAATGGACTGGCAGGGTCGTCTACCATTGGCTGATGAACAGTGGCATGATTTGACGTCACCATACTCTCTTTGGCCCGCCCCTTTGCCTCAATTTCCGGATAGTCTATTGGTTGTTTTGAATTGTACCATGTGACTAGCTAGCTTTTTCCAGAGCCTTCATTCTGTCTGTAGCCACTCCCACATCTCTTTAGTGCTCTTATATAATGTTTATTAGCCCAATTAACTAATCAATTAAGCGTCAAATGGAATGAAATCACTACCAAACTTCAACTATGTTTGGAACGTTCCCCAATTTAGTCCACAGCTAACTTCAATCTCATTGGTCATCTTCCATATATGCTAATTAGGACCTAAACGTCATGTCCTGAACACAAGCGCCATTTTTTTTTTTTACTTCAGGAGGAGGGTGAAACAGCATAATACATCAATTATTTCACTTTAATGTAAATCATTCTTTCCTGAATTAACTTTGGCGGCTGCATCTTGTCTGGAGAGGTGAGTGGCAGAGCATCGTCCAGGTGGATTGATTGCACACTTCCGTGACACCGAGACTGAAGCTCTCGCGGATTGGTGAAACTATCCAGATACGAAAAAAAAAAAATCGCGACAGACATCCTTTTATAACCGGAGACGCCAAAGCAAAGGTAATTTTATGTCAGTGAGCATCCTCAACAGTTCATCACAAATCTACACCTATTGTAGCCATTGTCAACATTTGCGCAGGTCCGCTGTCACAAGTCAGCCAACCAAGCATGTGTGTATGCAGTTCACCAATGATTTATCATTGAGTTCAACACAGCTAGCTAGCATTTTAGCTTCTGTGTTTTTATTCCCGCCAATGTATACAATTCGATAGGTTTAGTTATGTTTTTGTTCTCAGGTCTCCCTGCCGCTTTTGATTACCGTTCATGGCACAGGCGTCCGATTCGAATGGTAGTTGCCCTTTCAACTTCGATGGTAGTTTCTGTGCCTACCTACCATGGTGACCACGGGTAACTGAGAATCAGGATTTGATTCCGTAAAGGGAGCCTGAAAAACGGTTACCACATCCAAGGAAGGCACCAGGAACGCAAATGATCAACTCCCGAGTCAGGGAGGTAACGTTAACTAACTAGCCAGCTAGTGGCGAAAATAACAATACTGGACTCTTTCGACTCCCTGTAATTGGAATGAGTACACATAAAATACTTCAATGAGGATCCATTACTGGTTCTTAGAAATGATGTTTAGAGGTCAGTGGTCAGAAACGTATGAAATTGACATGATTTATGTTTTAACAGTAACATTTGACTGCCAGTTGTGACAATGTCCAATGGGGTGACGCCAAAAAATGAATGGAAAAATAAGTGAAATGGAAAAAAAATAAAGCATGAAGCAGGTAACTTTTTATTGAGGTTTAGTGATATTACTATGAAACTTAACCAAGTTTCTCGCTATTACATTTTGAGTATCATCATTATACAAGGAAATTGTGTTTTTCGATTGAAATACCAGATCATGATTACCGATTTAAAGACCGAAGTAACTAAATAATGAGTAACAATTATTTTATTGTCTATTTGGGAATCCTTAAACCTTTATACTAACATGTATTGAAATGTCACACCAGAGGACACATTCAAGGCACCAATACATGAAATGGTTAATTAAATTGGATATAAACTTAACACATAAGGTGGCCATATAACATTGAGTTGTTTAGACATTAATTTTTCACTTTTGTTTTGGCCAAATGGCAACTACCCAAATGTTCATGTTATCTTGCTGTGGGGGGGGTGTGTTAGATTTGGAGAGTAGCTATATAAGCTAACAGATGATGATTGGTGAGGGTAACGTTATCTAGCTATATGAATGCATTTATAATTCTTTAAAATGATGTTACTAGGTTATATGGGCCATGAATAGGTTATATAAACACATGAATCCATAGGCTACATTCATGTGTAGTGTATTTTCATTTAGGCCTATCCATGTTGACAATTTGGAATGCACCCAGGTTGTTATACTAACCTCATCCCCAGGGTTATTGTTATGGTACTTTTATGCACCGTTTATGATTAACTAGTAAGCTAACAGATCTGGGCTAACTGAGTTGGTAAGTGTAAAGTGTACTGTAGGTTATATTACCTGGCCTAACAAGATGCCTCTCTCTTTTAGGAAGCTGAGGAACAATGTATCAAGTCCCTGTTGGAAACTTGGAAAACATCAGAAAAACAAGGAGAAAAGTGAAACACATTTTGAGTGACTTTGGACTGGAGAATTGTGAAGTCCTTCTGGAAGTATGTTTTTGTTGTGCAGTTTTTATGTTTAGAACTATCAGATCAGTGTAGCAAATATTGTTTGGCGGCTAGATGAATGCCTAATTATTGCCATTTTACCCATTGTTTAGATTCATGGATTGTACTTTTCCCATAACTTTTAAAGACTCTGTGTCCCATATGGCACCCTGTTCCCTATGGGCTTTAGTGTACTATAAAGGGAATAAGGTGCCATTTGGGATGCGCAACAGTGAATGATCAGAGATAATTGATCAGTGTTGTTCTCTTCCTGATACTTAACTGTATGTTGTGTCACCATCTTCCAGGAGCTGCAGAAGGAGAAGGAGAAGAACTCTGATGAAGATTCTGATTCTGATGAGGCGTTCCAGGAGACCGAGTGGGTGGACCTCAGTGAGCCCTTTCTAGGCAAGAGGAAGAAAAAGGTAAAATAGCACCTGGAAAGATGAGCTAGTCTGATAGGGATGTCAACAAACCAAGCAAGTGTTTAAATTGAAACAGAATAGTTTATAGTTCAACTGATTGATTAAATGTGCCAATATTTCTGGGGTCTGTGGAAATGCATAGCCACTGACGTCGAATATATATATAATGCTATTTTATTTTTATTTTTCATCAGTTGATTCAGATCTTACTTAATCTGCATATGAAATGGACCCCTATTCCCCAAATTCCCACCCTATCCCCATATGGCTCTGGTCAAAGGTGGTGCACTATGTAGGGACACACCCTTTCTGACAAAAAAAACCCAACATTTATTCCTTAAAGTGAAGTGACCGGTCAATTTAAAATGGTCTTCTTTTGCTAATCACTCTTGTTATCTGTGCGTTTCCTTCCCCAGTGGCCGTACCGCACGCGGCTGTTGTGCTGCACCCTCTGTAAGTACTCCACCCGGAACTGGTACTCCTACAAGAGTCATCTACAGCGGAGCCATGAGTATGAGAGGAAACTGTGTGCTCTGGCTCCCTGCCAGATCTGCCCCTTCGTCGCCCACCCCCGAGTCCTCAAGAAGCACCTCCTCCTCTTCCATGGCTCTCCGAACGTGGACCAAGATGCAGCGTCTCTGCATTCAACTACCAAGAAAGGGGACCGATTTAAGTGTCGTAAATGCCGATATGTGGACTCAAACCTGTTCTCAATGAAGAAGCACGTCCTGCTGAACCACCTGGAGAAGCTGTGGCACCACTTTTCAGGACGGATACCAGACACTAAGTTCCCCCATTCAGCCTCCAAGCAGTTCTGTAAGGTGTGCAAAATGGCCATCGAAAGCACAGAGCACATGCTGCACCACATCCTGGCCTCTCCCACTCACCAGTGGGCCTGCGCTCAGATAAGGACCTGGATCTTAGAGAACACTCAGTATGTCAAGCCTTCAAATTACCAAACACTGGCCCCTAAAAACCAGCTGCCAAAGTTGTCCAGTCCTGAGCAGCTGGCAGGGCCCAACCAGAGCTTCCTCCCCCCTCAGGCTTCAACCCTGGTTCAGCTGGCCAGTGCCGAGGCTAAGGGCCTTCTCCAGCCTGGTGCTACTGTCAACCTGCAGAGTGCTATGCCACAGGGGGCCATCTCAGCCACCATGCCCATCGGCCAGACCATGGTCAGACTGCCCTCTGGCACCTCACTACCTGGTGCTCCTCACAACCAGGTGCCTTTCACCATAGGGGTCCAAGGTCAGCAGCAGGCCCAGCAGGTCTTCCTGCCCCCAAGGGTGCAGATCAGCATTCCAGGGATGTCCCAGTCCCTCATGATGACTCAGCGCCTCCCACTGAACCATGGGACCCCCCAGGGTACCATGCTCCAGAGCACCCCTCAGGGTACCATGCTGACCTCCCAGTCCCTCCTCAGCCACCTCATCCCCACAGGCAACAAGGTCAACGGCATGCCCACCTACACTTTCGCCACGCCGGTGGGAATGCCCGGCCAGACGAGTAACGTCCAGCTGATCAGCAAGGCTCCTCAACCCATCAAACCAGCAGGTAATCCCGCTCTCAACGCCAAAGCCAAGAAGTGGATCACCTGTCCCATCTGTAATGAACTGCTCCCCTCCAATGTCTATGAGGCTCACCAACAGGCTGCCCACAAGGCCCAGCCCAGAACAGCCAAGCAGCAGGGCCTTGCCGCCCGCGCTCCCTTCCTCAGGAAGATGCCTGACAAGACAGTCAAGTGTTTGAAGTGTAAGATCCTCCTGTCTGAGAAGGGCCTCTTTGAACACCTGCTGCACGGGCTCAACTGTCTCTACTGTCCTGGGATGTTCTACTCCATCCAACAACTGGTTGAACACACAAATACACAACACAACCCCACACAGAAGGCCAACTGTGACTTCATGAGGCGGGAGTATAGACTCTACACAGATGACAGTGGTAACCTTCTGTTCCCCTACTTTGACATCAACACCACGGCCCCCAAAGAGATCCTGGGAGACGGAGAGCTGAAACTGGCTCTGGTCACCAACTCCCTGGACCTGATCTTCCTCAAGATGCAGCCTGGTGGTAAACAGGAAGTGTGTCGGAACCCCAGTAAAACGACGCGGACCGACTGCCCCTTCTGTGAAGAGAAGTGTGTCACAGTGGAGAACTACCAGGCCCATCTGAGTGAGAAGCACTGCATCGCGCCCACCGTCCACGCCATCCTCAAGACCGCAGCGTTCAAATGCATCTACTGTAACGGCGTTTACACAGGCAAGACCACGCAGAGAGCTATAGTCATCCATCTACAACGCTGCCGCCGTGCACCCAAGACCCCTAAAGACGCAGACAGACTCCAGTCCGCCCCCACCAATGGACGCCAGCAGCAGGTCATGGCCTTTAACCAGATGATCCAGGTGCCAGGTCTGTACTCTGCCCAGCTCCCTCCCGTCCCCATGGCAGCAGCGCTGGCCTCCGTCCCCGTCCCCCAGCCCTCTGAGTCTCCTGCTGAGCTGCAGAGCAAACTGAGGCTGGAGGCGGCCTTCAGGGAGGCCATGGAGGCCAACAAGAAAGCGAGGGATGCCCGGGCAGCCTTCCGTAAGCAACGAGAGAAGGAGAAACGAGAGCAGGCACCCCTAACAGACCCCTCTATTCAGCTAGCACTGGACCCCAGTGGGATGGAGAAACGCCCCTCTGAGGAGCGTAAAGACTTCCTCACTAGATACTTTCACACCAAGCCATATCCCACAAAGAAGGAGTCTGAGGAGCTCTCCAAGAGACTGTGGCTGACCCGGACTGAGGTGTCCACCCTGTTTGGGATGAAGCGCACCAAGTGCATGAAGGCGATCCAGAGGAACAGCCCTACCATCATCATGGGCTTCAACATGACCGAGCTGAAGAAACTTAAGCACGACCTCCTCATCCCAGAGGTGGAACCTGCAGAACCTGAGAAGATGGCTGACCATGAAGTGGAACCCGAAGAACCAGAACAGACAGATTCTCCAGGAAGGGAACCAGCAGAACCAGAAATTTCTGTTCCAGAAGAAGATCCCTTAGAACCACATCAGATGGATGTTCCAGAGATGCATCCTTTAGAACCAGAGCCGATGGCTGTCTGAGTTGTCACTTCAGAGTACATGTACAGTGTATATAGATACCTTTACCTGGCTGACTGCAGCAGATTGCAGTGCCCTGAAATGTATACTTTTATATTGATGTTGATCTGCCTGCTAGTGTGGTCAAGATTAAATGTCAACTTAATTTTAGATGTTTACTTATTATTCTCCTTTTCGTAGAACTGTAATTCAAATGTTGACATTCTCACAGGCTATATGTTAGAACAAACCTCCTGTATACAAGTGTAAAAAATCTAAAGCCAGGATTTTGTTAGTTAAGTCAATTCTGGTTCAACAAAGGGTATTGATTCTGAGTGACTCTCCGTTTTCAGGGGTATGTTACGAGAGCTGTGTTACATACAACCAACGCATGGTTATATCCACCATTTCTTTCTAGTGGGCATCTTTTAGAGATTTTTTCAGCCCATTGACAATGATTCAGTTCGAAGGATATTTTACTTGCTGCTTGTTTTGAAATGCTGTCTTAACTGTAAAAGCTATAAAGCACACCTGTATTTAGTATTATGGAATACTCATGGTATACAAATTGAGAATGGATTACTGACTTTTAAGCAACTAAATCATTAACTCATGTTCAAAACATAATGAACAGTATTTGTAAATGTTGTTTATCACCATGAGTATCATCAAAATACCTTTTTTCTGTAAGTGAGTTATGATAGTTCTGTATGATAGTTACTGGCCATCGTTCTCAATAGTAACTCAAATCTATTATGTGGTTATATGAGTCCATTGACCAGATGAGACTGAGTATAATCATAACTGTAAGATATAGTCCAGCTTTTTTATTTTCAGAATGTGTATCAACAGCTATGCTATTCTTCCCTCTAATGATACTATGTAATGGATCGTTATGAGTTTGCTCAGATACTGAATTGTTCCATAGCCTCCATCACTTTCACCTTTGCTTTCCTCACCCTTGTTATGTTGCTGTTTGTGTTTTTTTTGTCCACTCATTTTGTTGAAAGTTATTATTTTTTGGGAAAACAGAATACCTCTCCTGGTGTTTTTACCATTATTTTCATATGTTAATTCCTCTATGGCAAGGGTGTCAAACTCATTCCATGGAGGGCCTAGAGTCTGCTGTTTTTTTTCTCCCTTTTCTTTTCAATTAGGACCTAGACAACCAGGTGAGGACAAGGGAGGAGCGAAAACCTGCATACACTCGGCCCTCCTTGGAATGAGTTTGACTAGTGAGTTTTTCGTCTTTGTTTCTTCCTGTCACATTTGCAATTGATTGTCAGGTTTATGTACTATATACCTGTTGGGTTTTCTATGGTTTCAGTCCTTGAGAAGCATAAATGTATTTGGACTTGAAGGTTTGAGCCTGCTGATGCATTGTGGCAGAATTGTGCAGAATAAACACTTTTTCCTATAAATATTTCACTCCTTCAACTTATTTCTCATGAATGGGTGTCCATCTGGGAAAGGTGGTCTCTATCCAAAGTGGGATATTGTAAAATAAAATACTAGCTAATGGCATTACTTGTATTACTATTCCGTAGAGATCCTAATTTTGTTTATATCGCTGTAGCCATTAAGTGGCCGACAAGTACCAAAGATTTTAATAACTAAACCAAGAAACTACAGCCCATCGTTTCAAACGGGAACAAATGAGTCCGTGGGCGTAACAAGCAAGGAGGTGGACAGAGACATGCACGAGCTAGCGACATCCTGTTGGCGTGTTCTAGTATACATTTGCATATTTCCGTTAAGGAACGCCTACTCTGAAGGGTGCGTGTGCAATAACTCAATTCGCCTTTGCACTCCTAAACAACGCAAAAACATTGGCAAAGAGTAACGTCAACAAAACTTTGGCAACTGTTCGTAACAGATTGTAGTTTTGGGAACAGAACTGTATTGAGATCAAATGTTTCATTGGTGAGAAAATTTGCAGAATCTCGGCCAAAATCCATCTCGTTCCATCTTCCACTGCCGGACACTGGGCTTCCTCTCGTGAGTGAAACTCCAAGCGGATGCTTCACATTTATACATCCGGTGAAATATCTGTCTCATTGTTCTATCTGTGCGTGTACTGACTCGTCTGGTATGCGCCGTCCATTCATATGGTCTCTTATTAGTGACGTAATGCGCAAGCGTGATCAACAGGGTTTCCACTAGTTACCACTGCCACAAAGTCAACATTTGCTATATCGTAAATACTCCTGAAAAGAAAAATGCAACTTTTGTTCTTAATTTAAGGTTAGGGTTAGCAGTGTGGTTAAGGTTAGGGTTGAAATCAAATTTTTAAAAGATACATTGTAGAAATGGGCTGGGTTTATGACTTTGTGGCTGTTGTAACTACATAAGACGTTTTCCTGTCGTTGGTCTTTTCACCTGACAGACGCAGGCTACCGGTTTGTTTCAATTCACGCTTTGGGGCTTGATCTAATTTCATACGGTAAGAGTGTTTTGAAACCTTAGCTACTTCTACATTTTCAATGCTGTAATATTACTTGAGGTCTTTCAACTTTCTGGAAATTTCCAAGCCAGTGCTAGCTAGTTAGCGACATTGCTAGCTAACGTTAGCTAGCTAGGCTTCCAACAGTGGCAATACAGTACTTTTTCGTTTTTAGCCTCAGTTATCTAATTTATATCTAAAGAAACTGGTGTTCCGCTGTTAGATATAGTTAGAAAGAACATTTTGACATTTTGTTCAGAAAAACAAAGTTGTACCAAGTCGTTATAACGTTAAACGTGTTACTTTCCAACATTTCTCTCCCAGGAGATACGTGTTAAGACTGCACCAGCAATATGTCGTATATGCTACCGCATCTCCACAACGGCTGGCAGGTCGACCAAGCTATTCTATCCGAGGAGGACAGAGCCCTGGTTATTAGGTTTGGACACGATTGGGACCCAACATGTATGAAAATGGACGAGGTGTTGTACAGCATAGCTGAAAAGGTAAGATGTATGTTGTACCAATGTTGATGTTTGTATTAAACATTTGTCAATACATTTAATTGAACGTTGGTATTTTTACAGTACAAACATAACTATTCCTCCCTACAGGTGAAAAACTTTGCAGTCATCTATTTGGTGGACATCACAGAGGTGCCAGACTTCAACAAGATGTATGAGCTGTATGACCCTTGCACTGTCATGTTCTTCTTCAGGTGAGTTTCAAGTTGTCATCATGTCCACCGTCACTTCAGAGCCCTGCAAAGAAATCTCTAGTTTTGACTTGCTAAATTAATGCAAATGAACAACAAAAATGGGTATAGTGAACACAGGCCCTCATGCCCTCATTCCATATAGACTAGTTGTGAAAAGCAAAGGGATACTCAGTCTTAACAGCCCCACACTGCTTCAGTTGACTGAACTCTCCCCTGTTTTAGTCCTGCATGACTCTGTGAAACTAAAATATTCCTTCTCTCGACCTCTGCACTGTTCTAGGAACAAGCACATCATGATAGATCTGGGGACTGGTAACAACAACAAGATCAACTGGACCATGGAGGACAAGCAGGAGATGATTGACATTGTTGAGACCGTTTACCGAGGGGCGAGAAAGGGACGAGGTCTGGTCGTATCTCCGAAGGACTATTCCACAAAATACAGATACTGATTGGTTCTTTCCATTGCTTTGTGTGATGCCCAATGGGAGCAAATCTGTCCTTTCAATATTAGACTTTCTGAACAGCTGGACTACAGACAGGCTCTGAATAGAGGGGGCCTGCTCTCTTTTTTTATGTTACAGCCAAGTCACCTTTTTTCAACAGCAGTCATAAAAACCATAATTTGTTGTTTTTGTATTTAATAAATGTTGTGTTCATATGAGATTGCCATTTAGTTGTCACGTCACAGCCTGTTTTCTCTGACCCAGATTAAGGCTAGTCCTCGATTTTTAAATCATTCTGGATTTAATAATCTCAATTAAAAGGTTGTTTTTAGTTCAGGGCGGCTTAATCTGGGTCTGGAAAATTGGCGCATATGTTTAATCTGTGGTGTATATGTGATTTGGCTAGTGATGTACCTGGCTGCCCACGCTCCCTTCCTCAGGAAGATGACTGTCAAATGTGTTGTGTAAGATAATGCGGTCTGAGAAGCCTCTTTGAACACCTGCTGCATGGGCTCAACTGCCTCTACTGTCCTGGGATGTTCTACTCCATCCTACAACTGGTTGAACACACAAACACAACCCAACACAGAAGGCCAACTGTGACTTCATGAGGCGGGAGTATAGACTCTACACAGATGACAGTGGTAACCTTCTGTTCCCCAACTTTGACATCAACACCACGGCCCCCAAAGAGATCCTGAGAGACGCAGAGCTGAAACTGGCTCTGGTCACCAACTCCCTGGACCTGATCTTCCTCAAGATGCAGCCTGGTGGTAAACAGGAAGTGTGTAGGAACCCCAGTAAAACGACTGCCTTTCAGTGAAGTGTCACAGTGGAGAGCTACCAAGCCCATCTGAGTGGGAAGCACTGCATCGTGTTCCACCGTCCACGCCATCCTCAAGACCACAGCGTTTACTGCAACGGCGTCTACGCAGACAAGACCAGGCAGTGAATTGGTTCTCTATATGAACGCAGCTGCCACTTCATTAAAGCTGTTGGATGCAGTTTATCATAGTGCATTGAGCTTTATTACGGGCAACAGGTTTAGTACTCATCTCTACCAGAACGTTTTTTTTGCCCCTCTGATGTCATGTATGTCGATACATTGCTATGTTTTCATTCATTAAGCCCTTTCCCAAAAACTCCCACTGTGCTGAACATCATTACTAACCTTTAGACATGAGTTACCACACCCGGTCTCAGCAAAGGCTAACTGGAAATTCCTTCTGTCTACTGAGTTAAGTAAATCTATGTTTGGGTGTCAGTGTAATTATGTGTGAGTGTGCATAGACTGTGCAAAAAAGGGTCAATGCAGGTAGTCGGGGGTAGCCATTTGATTAGCTATTTAGCATTCTTGTTTAGCAGTCTTAAGACTTAGGGCAGTGGTTCCCAACCAGGGGTACTAGGACCCCTGGGGAACTTGGCCTATCCACAGTGGGTACTCGAAGACTTGAGACCATAGTATTACTGGTAAAATGCACATGAAGGGGAACTTCAGTGGTACTCCGGGCAGAGCAAAATTCAGTTGGTGGTACAGTAATTGGAAAAGGTTGGGAAGAAGCTGGCTTAGGGGAAGAAGCTGTTCAGGGTCCTGTTGGTTCCAGACATGGCTTGGGTGGCTGGAGTCTTTGACAATTTTTGGGGCCTTCCTCTGACACCTCCTGGTATAGTGGTCCTGGATGACAGGGAGCTCGGCCCCAGTGATGTACTAGGCCGTACTCACCACCCTCTGTAGCGCCTTGCAATCGGGTGCCTTGCAGTTGCCGTACCAAGTGGTGAAGCAGCCAGACCAAAACTCTTTGTGGGTCTGAGGGCCCATGCCTAATCTTTTCAGCCTCCAGAGGGGGAAGAGGCAATGTTGTGCCCTCTTCACAACTGTATGTATGTGGAGCATGTTAATTCCTAAGTGATGTGGATACAGAGGAATTTGAAGCTCTCGACCCACTCCACTACAACCCTCACTTTTTCTTACATTCAAGCGTAATAGATTGTTCAAGTGAACGGAAACGGTGCTGTACTGAATGGCCAGTTGAAAAACGTGAAGAGCTGGGTTGTGGGCTCTAAATGCAACGCTGCGCTTTAAATACGTCATTCAATGCTTGAAGCCACACCAAGGCACACACACCAAATGGAGCAAACTTATCTCAAAGTCTGTTCAAGAACGTACAATAACATTTTGGGAAAACGTGTCGGTCAGTACAAACCGTTCCGCAAACGTTCAAGCAAACTGAACGCACCCCTGGCTATCCAAACTCCTTGCTACGCCACGCCCACGGACGTTCGTTTTCTCTCCGCAATGAGTGGATCTGAGTGCCTCCCTGATGATTTCTAGAACATATTCTAACCGTTCTCATTGGTCCCAGAAACCGATGGGTTGGGCCAGAGCCAGAACACATGTGGCTTTGATACTGTGATTGGTGAGAGATGATCCAATTGCTGATGACTTTGTTTTGTACAACACCCCTCATTTTGACATCACCACAAATTACTTCAACGATGGCAGTCTAGACTGAAAGTATTCCATTTTTATTTAGTCACATGCACAGGGTCGCAGATGTAGTTGCAGTGTACAGTGAAATTCTTAAGCTCCGAGCTCCAACAGTGCAAGTGTGAATTAAACAATAAAAACATAATACATGTTTTCAACTGTGCCAATGATAAATATAAATGTCTATTCAGCATGATAAATGTCCATTGGGGTGTGGGCATGTCCAAAGGGGGAGCAGTGGGGGGTAGCAAGTCTGGGGGGAAAGGGGGGAGCTGGTAGCTGACTAGTGGTGGCTATTAGTGGTCCTCTGTGGCTCAATTGGTAGAGCATCGCGCTTGTAACGCCAGGGTAGTGGGTTCGATCCCCGGGACCACCCATACACAAAAATGTATGCACGCATGACTGTAAGTCGCTTTGGATAAAAGCGTCTGCGAAATGGCATAGTATATTATTATATTCAGCAGCCTGATGGTCTGGGAGTAGAAGCTATTGGCCAGTCTGTTAGTTTTAGCCATGATGCTCCTGTACTACCCGTGTCTGAGTGATGGAAGCGGAGAGAACAGGCCATGGCTCAGGTGGCTGAGGTCCCTTATGATCTTCTTGGCCTTCCTGCGACACCTGGTGTTGTAGGTGTCCTGGAGGGCAGGCAGTGTGCACCCAATGGTGCATGAGGCTGAGTGTACCGTACCACCCTCTGTAGTGCCTTTCGGTCATCGGTGGTGGAGTTGCTGTACCAGGCTGTGATGCAGCCCGACAGTATGCTCTCGATGGTGCTCCTGTAGAACAATGTGAGGGCCCTCGGGGACAGGACAAATTTCTTCAGCCTCCTGAGGTTGAAGAGTCGCTGTCGTGCCTTCTTCACCACAGTGTCTGTGTGGTTTAACCATTTCAGCTCCTCTGAAATATGTATGCAGAGGAACTTGACGTTTTTGACATTCTCCACGGCGGCCCTGTTGATGAGGATGGGGGCATGCCGAGCCTGGTTCCTCCTGAAGTCCACAATCAGCTCCTTTGTTTTGCTGACATTAAAGGAAGAGGTTGTTTACCTGGCACCACACCGTCAGAGTGTCTACCTCCTCCCTGTAGGCCGTCTCTTCGTTGTTGGTAATCAGATCTACTACTGTGGTGTCGTCAGCGAACTGGATGATGGAGTTTGAACTGTGTGAGGCCACGCAGTCATGGGTATACAGGGAGTATAGGAGGGGACTGAGGACGCACCCTTGTGGGGCCCCCGTACTGAGGATCAGTGTGGAGCACGTAATTTTGCCTACCATCACCACCTGGTGGCAGCCCGTCAGGAAGTCCAGGACCCAGTTGCATAGGGAGGAATTGCCGTGCGGCAGCAGAGAGAACAGTCTATGACTAGGGTGGCTGGAGTCTTAGGCAATTTTTAGGGCCTTCCTCTGACACCGCCTGGTATAGAGGTCCTGGATGGCAGGAAGCTTGGCCCCAGTGATGTACTGGGCCGTACGCACTACCCTCTGTAGTGCCTTGCGGTCGGAGGCCGAGCAGTTGCCCTACCAGGCGGTGATGCAACCAGTCAGGATGCTCTCGAATGGTGCAGCTGTAGAACCTTTAGAGGATCCGAGGACCCATGCCAAATATTTTCAGTATTCTGAGGGGGAATAGGCTTTGTCGTGCCCTCTTCACGACTGTCTTGGTGTGGACACGAAGGAACTTGAAGCTCTCAACCTGCTCTACTACAGCCCTGTCGATGAGAATGGGGCGTGCTCGGTCCTCCTTTTTCTGTAGTCCACAATCATCTCCTTTGTCTTGATCACATTGAGAGAGAGGTTGTTATCCTGGCACCACACGGCCAGGTCTCTGACCTTCTCCCTATAGGCTGTCTCATCGTTGTCGGTGATCAGGCCTACCACTGTTGTGTCGTCGGCAAACTTAATGATGGTGTTGGAGTCGTGCTTGGCCATGCAGTCATGGGTGAACAGGGAGTACAGGAGGGGACTGAGCACGCACCCCTGAGGGGCCCCAGTGTTGAGGATCAGCGTGGCAGGTGTGTTGTTACCTACCCTTACCACCTGGGTCCTTAGCTTAGTAATGAGCTTTGAGGGCACTATGGTGTTGAACACTGAGCTGTAGTCAATGAATAGCATTCTCACGTAGATGTTCCTTTTGTCCAGGTGGGAAATGGCAGTGTGGAGTGCAATAGAGATTGCATCATCTGTGGATCTGTTGGGGCGGTATTCAAATTGGAGTGGGTCTAGGGTTTCTGGGATAATGGTGTTGATGTGAGCCATGATCAGCCTTTCAAAGCACTTCATGGCTTCAGACGTGAGTGCTACGGGTCGGTAGTTATTTAGACAGGTTACCTTAGTGTTCTTGGGCACAGGGACTATGGTGGTCTGCTTGAAACATGTTGGTATTACAGACTCAGCCAGGGACAGGTTGAAAATGTCAGTGAAGACACTTGCCAGTTGGTCAGCGCATGCTCGGAGTACAAGTCCTGTTTAAAGGTCTTACTCACATCGGCTTCGGAGAGCGTGATCACACAGTTGTCCGGAACAGCTGATGCTCTCATGCATGCTTCAGTGTTGCTTGCCTCAAAGCGAGCATAGAAGTCATTTAGCTCAATCGGTAGGCTTGTGTCACTGGGCAGCTCGCAGCTGTGCTTCCCTTTGTAGTCCGTAATAGTTTGCAAGCCCTGCCACATCCGACAAGCGTCGGAGCCGGTGTAGTACGATTAAATCTTAGTCCTGTATTGACGCTTTGCCTGTTTGATGGTTCGTCGGAGGGCATAGCGGGATTTCTTATAAGTGTCCGGGTTAGAGACCCGCTCCTTGAAAGCAGCAGCTCTACCCTTTAGCCCAGTGTGGATGTTGCTTGTAATCCATGGCTTCTGGTTGGGGTATGTAGGTACGGTCATCGATGCACTTATTGATGAAGCCAGTGACTGATGTGGTGTACTCCTCAATGCCATTGGAAGAATCCCTGAACATATGCCAGTCTGTGCTAGCAAAACAGTCCTGTAGCTTAGCATCTGCGTCATCTGACCACTTCTGTATAGTGGACATCTTGAAGCAGGTGGGGATAACGGCCTGAGCTAGAGAGAGATTGAAAATGTCAGAAAACACAACAGCTAGCTGGTTTGGACATGCTCTTAGGGCGCGGCTAGGGATGCCATCTGGGCCGGCAGCCTTGCAAAGGTTAACATGTTTGATTTATTTACATACGTCCTCCGTGGAGACCGTAAGCATGTAGCGAACATAGAGCAGTGGAAGAATTCAGTTTGAGTTGTCAGGCAACGTAAAGACTTCCTCACCAGATACAGTACTTCCACACCAAGCCGTACCCCACCAAGAAGGAGTCTTAGGAGCTCTCCAAGAGACTATGGTGATCCGGGCTGAAGTGTCCACCCTGTTTGGGATGAAGCACACCAAGTGCATGAAGGCGATCCAGAGGAACAGCCCTACCATCTTCATGGGCTTCAACATGAGCTGAAGAACTTTAAGCACAACCTCCTTTTGCCAGAGATGGAACCTGCAGAACCAGAGACTGACCAGGAACTGAAACCAGAGGAACCAGAACAGAAGAACATACATATTATCCAGAAAGGGAACCAGCAGAACCAGAAATGTCTGTGCCAGAAGAGGAACCTTCAGAACCTGAAAAGATGGATGTTCCAGAAATAGATCCTTTAGAACTAGAGCCGATGGCTATCTTGAGTTGTCACTTCAGAGTACAGGTACAGTGCCTTGCAAAAGTATTCATCCCCCTTGGCGTTTTTTTCCTATTTTGTTGCATTACAACCTGTAATTTAAATTGATTTTTATTTGGATTTCATGTAATGGCATACACAAAATAGTCCAAATTGGTGAAGTGAAATGAAAAAAAAAAAAAACGGAAAAGTGGTGCGTGCATATGTATTTACCCTCTTTGCTATGAAGCCCCTAAATAAGATCTGGTGCAACCAATTACCTTCAGAAGTCATATAATTAGTTAAATAAAGTACACCTGTGTGCAATCTAGGTGTCACATGATCTGTCACATGATCTCAGTATATATACACCTGTTCAGAAAGGCCCCAGAGTCTGCAACACCACTAAGCAAGGGCCACCACCAAGCAAGCGGCACCATGAAGACCAAGGAGCTCTCCAAACAGGTCAGGGACAAATTTGTGGAGAAGTACAGATCAGGGTTGGTTCATAAAAAAATATCCAAAACTTTGAACATCCCACGGAGCACCATTAAATCCTTTATTAAAAAATTGAAAGAATATGGCACCACAACAAACCTGCCAAGAGAGGGCCGCCCACCAAAATTCACGGACCAGGCAAGGAGGGCATTAATCAGAGAGGCAACAAAGACACCAAAGATAACCCTGAAGGAGCTGCAAAGCTCCACAGCGGAGATTGGAGTATCTGTCCATAGGACCACTTTAAGCCGTACACTCCACAGAGCTGGACTTTACTGATAGAGTGGCCAGTAAAAAGCCATTGCTTAAAGAAAAAATAAGCAAACACGTTTGGTGTTCGCCAAAAGGCATGTGGGAGGTTCCCCAAACATATGGAAGAAGGTACTCTGGTCAGATGAGACTAAAAAATTGAGCTTTTTGGCCATCAAGGAAAACGCTATGTCTGGCGCAAACCCAACACATCTCATCACCCGAGAACACCATCCACCAACATGGCAGCATCATGCTGTGGGGATGTTTTTCATCGGCAGAGACTGGGAAACTGGTCAGAATTGAAGGAATGATGGATGGCGCTAAATACAGGTAAATTCTTGAGGGAAACCTGTTTCAGTCTTCCAGAGATTTGAGACTGGGACGGAGGTTCACCTTCCAGCAGGACAATGACCCTAACCATACTGCTAAAGCAACACTCGAGTGGTTTAAGGGGAAACATTTAAATGTCTTGGAATGGCCTAGTCAAAGCCCAGACCTCAATCCAATTGAGAATCTGTGGTATGACTTAAAGATTGCTGTACACCAGTGGAACCCATCCAACTTGAAGGAGCTGGAGCAGGTTTGGCTTGAAGAATTGGCTAAAATCCCAGTGGCTAGATGTGCCAAGCTTATAGAGACATACAGCTGTAACTGCTGCAAAAGGTGGCTCTACAAAGTATTGACTTTGGGGGGGGTGAATAGTTATGCATGCTCAAGTTTTCTGTTTTTTGTCTTATTTCTTGTTTGTTTCACAATAAAACATATTTTGCATCTTCAAAGTGGAAGGCATGTTGTGTAAATCAAATGATACAAACCCCCAAAATATCCATTTTAATTCCATGTTGTAAGGCAACAAAATAGGAAAAATGCCAAGGGGGGTGAATACTTTCGCAAGCCATTGTACCTTTACCTGGCTGACTGCAGCAGATTGCAGTGCCCTGAAATGTTTAATTTTATATTGACGGTGTTCTCTGCTAGTGTTGTCAACAGTCATTGTCGACTTAATTGTAGATGTTGACTTATTATTTGTTTTCGTAGAACTGTACATCTAATGTTGATATTCTCACAGGCTACATGTTACGACAAACATCTGTATGCAAATGTTTTAAAAAATCTAAAGCCAAGTGAGGATTTTATTAGCTAAGCTATCAATTCAGGTTCAACAAAAGGTATCGATTCTGAGTGACACTCCATTTTCAGGGTGTTGTTTTGAGCGATGTGTTACATCATACAAACAGCTCGGCTAAATACACAATTTCTTCCTACGGGTGATATTTTTTTAGACCGTTGTTTAGAGCCGTTTGACCGTGATTAAGTTTAAAGAATCTTATACTTGCTGCTTGTTTTGACATGCTGTCTTTGTTAAAGCTATAAAAGCACACCTGTATTTGGTATTATGTAAGTATACAAACTTGGATCATTGATGACTGACTTTCAAACAACTAAACCATTAACTCTCATGTTCAGAACACAATGAACAGAGTTTGTCAATATTGTGTTTCTATATCACCATCAGTATAATCAGAATACCTATTTTATGTTGTGGTCGTCTGTAGCTCAGCTGGTAGAGCATGGCGCTTGTAACGCTAAGGTAGTGGGTTCGATCCCCGGGACCACCCATACACAAAAAATGTATGCACGCATGACTGTAAATCGCTTTGGATAAAAGCGTCTGCTAAATGGCATATTATTATATGTTAAAGATGTGTCATTCCGTATGATAGTTAATGTCCATTGTTCCCAATAGTAACTTAATATATCATAATGTGGTTGTATGGGTCCATTACCAGACTGTAATAATTACTGTAACTGTAATTACTGATTGGCCAACTAACTTATTTACAGAAAATGAACAGCTATTCTTCCCTCTATTTAAACTATTACATTTGACATTTTAGTCATTTAGCAGACGCTCTTATCCAGAGCGACTTACAGTTAGTGAGTGCATACATTTTCATACTGGCCCCCCGTGGGAAACGAACCCACAACCCTGGCATTGCAAGCGCCATGCTCTACCAACTGAGCTATGTAATGGATTGTTGTGAGTTCACTCAGATAATGATTTGTGCCAAAACTTCCATCAAGTTCACCTTTGCTTTTCTCGCCCTTGTTATGTTGTTTTATGTTTCTTTATTTGTTTGCTTCTTTGTTTTTGTCCACTCATTTTGTTGTAAGTTATTATTTGGGGAAAACAGACAACCTCTCCTGGTGTTTTTACCATTATTTTAATATGCTCATTCCTCACTTCTACTTCTTGTGTGATTTGCAATTGATTGTCATTTTTAAAAATCAACTATACCTGTTGAGTTTCATGGGTTCAGTCCTTCAGAAGAAAATGTGTATTTAGACTTGAAGTTCTGAGCCTGCTGATGCATTGCTGCAGAACTTCAGAATCGAAACAAACCTTTTCTTACAAATAAATGTTTTCTCATGAATGTATGTCCAAGTTAGGTGGTCTCTAAACAAAGTGTGCTATTGTAAAAATACTGATGGGATGCTGGCCCATGTTGACTCCAATGCTTCCCACAGTTGTGTGAAGTTGGCTGGATGTCCTTTGGGTGGTGGATTATTGTTGATACACACGGAAAACTATTGAGCGTGAAAAACCCAGCAGCGTTGCAGTTCTTGACACACTCAAACCGGTGCGTGTCCTGGGAAAAGTTGTTTTGAACGGTCATCCAACTCGGAATTCCTGGTCGGAAACGGGCATCTTTTCTAGAGCTCTGTCTTTTTGACCTGAAGATCACTGACGTCATGATTTGACCTCATATTTTTCAGAGTTCCCAGTTGTCTTGTGCCGCATTCACGTGCTAGTCGGAACTACGAAAGTCTGATATTTTCGACTTGCTAACTGGGTGTAGTTATACTCTTGCCGCGTTCACATAATCAGCAAGTCGGAAATGTCCATGTTCCGATTAGCATGTGAACGCGGCATTGAAAGTGCCATAGAGCTTGCCGGCTTGTAGTCCTAAAACCCGGAAATTAGTTACCTCTGGTAAATTCAGCCATCCATATGGGAAAAATGTATGACGAAAGAATAGGGTTTTGGAATAAACTCCGAAAATAAGGTCTGAGGTTAATACACGCTTACGAGATCTTATAGGTTTTGTTCTATAAGATAATAGCTGTCAGTTAACATGACTTTTATGAATTATGAAGCCTTGATGTGCTTACATAAATTACATAAACGTATTCAAAATTCACAAAAAGTGACGTTAGCTGATGAAGATTATCTCATAGAACAAAACGTATAAGATCTCCTAAGCCAGTGTTTACCAAATACCTTTTTTCGGGGTTTATCCAAAAACCCTACAAAAACACATTTTCTCTATAGGCTTTCTCCAACGAACCACGTTGGAGTTAGTGCATACAAAAAGATGCCATTATTATTTAAATCAATGTACTGAACCAAATTGTAGGCCTATGTGCCGTTTTGTTACTTTTTAGTGACGTAATGCGCAAGCGTAAACAACAGAAGTCGTTTTATTTTAATATTCGTATTTTCACCAACAGACCCAGGCTACCAATTTGGTTCAGGGCTTTGGTGCTTGTGATAATTTTATACGGTAAGCGTTTTTGAAACCTTACTTTTATATTTCCAATGTCTAAATATGATTTGAGACCTTTCAACTCGGACTTTCTGGCGATTTCCAAGCCAGCCAGGCTAGCTACCGTTAGCCACGGTGTTAGCTAGTTAGGCGTCCAATAATTTTTCGTTTTTCATTATCGACAATATCTTAGCTTATTAAATCAAATCACATTTTATTAGTCGCATTCGCATACACATAAACTCAGCAAAAAAAGAAACGTCCTCTCACTGTCAACTGCGTTTATTTTCATCAAACTGTGTAAATGTTTGTATGAACATAACAAGATTCAACAACTGAGACATAAACTGAACAAGTTCCACAGACATGTGACTAACATAAATTGAATAATGTGTCCCAGAACAAAGGGGGGGTCAAAATCAAAAGTAACAGTCAGTATCTGGTGTGGCCAACCAGCTGCATTAAGTACTGCAGTGCATCTCCTCCTCATGGACTGCACCAGATTT